TGAACACCTGAAAAATTTTATGGCCCCCCCAAATTTCCTCTGCCCCCCCCTGCGCAGCCTTAAAATTGGCAACAGTTTTAAATTTTGAAAGCGCATTGATACCAACAGCTTGCAAAAAAAAAAAAAATTCCATAAAAATCAATAATAATTAAATAAATATATTGAAATAAAAGGAAAAAGGAGTGGCTCCCCAATGGTGCTCTTCTTCTCACAGAAAGCCCAAGCTACAGTAGGTTTCTGTGGTGTCATGTTATGAGAAAATAGAAGGTGATACTTAAAAACCTCAATAAAAGATTTCTAAGATTTCTTTACTTTATTTCACAATTTAACAATTTTATTTAGTTTTTTAAGTATCGCCATACATTTTCTTATAACGACACCACAGAAACCTAGCTTAAGCTACCTGTGTTCTTCGAATGAATACAATACTCCCTTTTCAAATTCACCTTTGCTCAGCCTTAGCCTCGATTGTGTACAAATGTGTTCTTTTCTTTTATTAAGGTCCACTGTATAGAAGTAAGGAATGTACATATACTACGGAACAACACGAGTTGATTAAAATACCACAGGTTTTGGTTGAATGGCTGAATATTTCAATGCACATTTGAGGCTAAGACTGAGCAAAGAGAACTAAAAACTGGAGTATTGGGTGAAATAAAAAACAAGTGCTATGGAAATGCCACTGATAAATTCCATTGGATTTGTTTTGATTTTGATTGAGCATTAATCAATATTCATATACACTTACAGTGATTGCCACCTTTATGATAAAATGACGATGTAAGTAGACTTAACAGTGATATCTGTAACGGGGCTATAACTCCAACAAACATATCTTTCTTTTCACTTTCTAGCCAGTTGCTCAGGATAATCTAACGACAAAAACAAATATACTGGTAATGCATGAGTTTCTTTTCATAAATCAGTAAGATTACCATGTCAGCTGCACATATAGTACATGACTAGTCATATCTACAGCACATTTTACCTGAAATGTTAATAATGGTATAACTAGAAGGACAGAAGCAACAGCAACCATAATGTGACCATGTTTCTGTTCAGGCAAGAGCACTGCTGATCGCACAAATATGATAGCCCAAATAATATAATAAAGTACTAGTAAACACATCAAAGATAAAACTATCCACATGGGGGCAAAGACAACCTGGAAACACAATAAAACAATATATATATCATTAATAAAGATGTCATTCTAATGTAATTTTTCTGCAAAATAAATAGAGGATATTACATAGGCGCGCGGAGATACGAAATTTATCTTCGAGTGTTGAAAAGATCTCTCACAAGTGAGCGCAGCGAACGAGTGAGAGATTTTCAACAYGAGAAGATAAATTTCGTATCTCCAAGCGCCCATGTAATATTCTGTTTATTATATAATTATCAATGGAGTATGTTTTGGCTTTTTCAGGCAATTATTTCCGTGTATTTTTGAATAGTCATCGCAATGGTGTTAYCTTCACACGTGAAAATAACATGTTATTTTCACGTGTGAAGATATCAATTTTTCGAAATAGAGAAAAATAGATATTTCATTGGTAATTATATAATAAGAAGCAATATTCTGTCTTCGTAGTGCAGTTCAGTCTATAGTGTATTTATTATAAAAGAAGTTTCCTTCTTTTTCTTATTCTTTACTTTGTAATCATAAACATTTTGTAGCCTGCTGAGCCAAACACTTTTGGACTAGTCACTTGAGGAGGATAGAGACATGGAGATGGTGATGAAAGATAGGAAAAACTTGTACTTAAACCCAAAAGTTTTTGGACATCACTAAATCAAAGCCTCTATTCTTCACAATTACATTTAAGAAGTTTGTTCTATTTTCAGTAACAAAATGGTCAAAGTAAAAGTTTTTAAAAACTTATTTATTTATTTTAATTACCAAAAAGAAGCATTCTCTTTGATTGTTAGATCACTTCTTTTAAAAGATTTGTTCATCTTGATCGTAGAATGAACTTGAAATTTTGGTCACAAATTTGTGACATAATTTTTTAACCAAACCTCTTAAGGGCAGAAAAAGTAAAATAACCTAATTGTGAAAAATGCTGCTTAGCCCAGCATGATTGAACGGTATTAGTATATAATGCATGATTGGTCATAAAATACAAGAAACCAATATAATATATATAATATGTCTATAATATAACAGTCAACGTCATTAACATTTAGACATTTAGACATTTAGAATAAAAGAAATATCACGTGTGTCATTATGTATTCTTTGCCTCGTGTGCGTCAGCCTGAACTTTAAAAGTAAAATTCAACTCGTGAATCAAAAATCCAGAATGCCCYGGCCATTTAGTGAGGAGTTAGGATGGAGAATGTTTGTTTTATGCCAGAACATTCAAGGAAACACTTGATATTTTTGCTAGTCTAAATGTGTAAATGTGTATACATGTAAATGTCTTTTTTCGGTGGTGAACATTAATGACATTGACTGTATAATATGTCAAATAAAAAAACATCAAAACATATCCTTATTTTGTATTACAGTGCGACTACTCCAACAAAAGCCACCTCGACAAATTTTCTACAAATTAGCCAATCAAAAGTAGGAATCTGAACAATAGAATTGCTACAAATGGGACAAATATCCATGGGTTTACATGGCTTAGAAGACTGTCAGCACCTTTGTTGTCGAATATAAATGTGCTGTCGCATAGCAACACAGTGATAAGATCTAACAGTGTCAGCCTGATGATATCTTTGTCTGGAAGAAACAAACTGTAATCATAAAGACTGTGTTTTATACGGTCTCTAATTTGCTTTCCTGTCGTATTTGAAGTCATACTATTTTTACTATTTTTCTATATCTTTGGTGACACAAATCACTAATTTGCGAAGAAAATATATTACAAGCTCTTCTTCATCATTTAGTTTTACCAACCGGAACAACGGAAGAATATTTAAATTCAAAATTTGCAGCTAATCTATCATCTAAATACTCAAACACTATTGGATAATTTGTGGAAAATTTGTCGATGTGGTTTTGGTTGGAGTAGTCACACTGTAATAGTCACCCTCTCCATTGTGTCATTTACTTACTGCCCATTGCCATCTAATAACATTGTCTAGCTTTAATGCCAGGAAAATAAACTGCAGAATATTCACAGAAAACACTGTCTCTAGCTGCAACGAGACAAAAAGAAATGATGTCTTATATAAACTAGTTTACAGAACAAAACAAAACAAAAAAAAAAAGCTTAGAAGGGCTTACTCTATACTCTATAGCTAGTTTGCAAAGGAAAAAGGGGGAAAAAACATTTTAGATATTCTTTCAAGTGCAGCGACTTTTTGCTCCCTTTGATACTTTTAAAAGATGCCATTTCAAATACCAAAGGGGCCTGAGCAATGAGTTCATGCAACAGTGACTTGAAAATGATTTTAAAATAATAAATAATAATAATGATGAAAAAAAAAGAAAACACTCCTTCCTGTCCAATCTTTCCATTTTATTACAAGGGAGAAATGCTTTAATGAGAAAAAAGTGGTCAGGTTTAAATCAGATCAACCATACTGATAGCTATGGCTCTGTTAAGCAGCCAATATGTATTAATTAATATTCTCGACTTTCACATCCTCATAATGCCTTGCATTTTTGGGGGTAACAAATCAAAAAACTGTCCCAAATTGAAAGGTTTCTTAATTGAATTTATACTATACCTGCTTTTATCTGTACAATACTGATTATCAGTTTATTCCAAGTTATTTTTGCGTGTACAGATAATGAAGAGTTTTGGTCTTACAGAAAATGTATTGACTTATGAAAAAATGTTTAAATTTACCTTAAACATCTTCAAGCTTCTATCTTTTTCTGTTTTTTACTTCTTCATTATATTATTTTTTTTATCTTTGGATACCAAACAAGGTATTTTCAACTTTGTCTGATCAGCCTTCAGCAAAATAAGTGGGTTTTTACCTCTGGTTACCCCCAAAAGACGCAAAGGATTATGGGGATGTGAAAGTCAAGAATTACAAAAATTAAACAAACCTCCACAGATCTGTCATGACGAAAACCCCAGACACAAGCAATTATGGAAATTGATGACAGGACATATAATGGCATAAACATTATCCTCCATTCAAACATCTTGTGTCTTAGGTTTATACACACAAGGATTTCAAAGATAAATAGCAGGAGATGAAGGAAAAGACTGATTATCATGGCCTTGAACTCAACATAGCTTTCTCCTTCACCCCTGAAAGACAAAGTCAAAGACAAAGTCAAAGATCATCAAAGACAATGTTCATATATGTCATTATATAAGATCAATTGGATTAATTACTGTCTGAAGTAATAATTATTTTTCAGTGATGCCCACTGTATGTTTTGGGTCCATGTTGTCGTTAAAACATACATAAGTTTATCACATCAACCCAAGTTTAATTTCATGGGATTGTCCTTTTCAAGTTCACATATAAAATATACAATAAACTTATAGTAGCTACATGTATAAACTCTTTACAATCAATCGTCATGGTATATATTATAAAAGCATACCTATACTCTGGTCGCTTTATCCATATGTATAAACCAGTAACAGCACCAGAAAATACAGCGAATTTCCATATCCATACTGGCGTGAAAATAGCCCAGTAGCTCCATTGGATTGCTCCATCCAGACGAAGAGCAAGAAGAATGGAAAAGATAAACAGCATAAAGAACAGAAGGAACCTACTGTAGACACACAGACAACATAACCAACTGTTAATTTTGTTATTTTCGCAACTATTTATTAAAGTGTATTTTCATGAAGTTACCTTGGATTAAAGTCTTGAAAAAGACGTCGTAGGTTCATTGTAGAAAGCATAGATACGAGGACTTTTACGTTATGAAAACGAAGACATTTTGAGACCTATTGTCTGTATAATATGATCTACCTATAGTTCAAAACCAGGCCTCTATACCCACTCGATCAAAGCAATCTACAGGAACCCCACAGCCCCGTAATTATCCTTTATATGCTTCTTGCCTTTTCATTATTTTTTTTAGGGGAAAGGGGAATATTTTAAAATTTTGCATCCATTTGTATGAAAATAACATTTACATTTAGATTTACCAAATTACAAGCACACCCTCTCTTCGAGGCTTAAGTGCTCGGGTAACTTAATATCATCAGAAGCTTAATTGATTACCTCCATAAATGTACCAAGTGACATGTGGTAAAGGTTTTGTTACATTCTATTTTACCAAGCTTAAAATCTACTATATTCATATGTAATTGTTACCACAGAGGACATTTCTTTGTAAAAGCATGCAGATAAAGTTTGGGAAAATTCCAGTGTTGTAGCTCCTTTGCAAGCATCCTTAGGGGCGGACCTAAAACTACCCACACCCCCAAGAAGGCCATTCCTTGAGAGGGGGTTTTAGGCTAATATTGTTGACTTTTTTATTAGGCTTGGTATGCAACAAGCTCCAGGGAGCATTTATTTTTAAGTAGGGGAACTGGAAGCTGTTAATTTTCTTATTGTTTCAATCAAAATCTGTAATATAAACAAATTATAACATGTTAAGAGCCTGATAATTTTTTTGTATGTCACACCTGGAATGGTATGGAATACAGGAGCACGCATAGCTCAGGGCCCAGTCGTACAAAGCCTGGATAGCGCTGTCAGGYGAATAAATCCTTATCCAGTGGATATGTTGATGCTGTTTTCCAATAATTAAATTTATCCACTGACTGGATAAGATTTATCCGCCGGATAGCGCTATACAGGCTTCATACAACCGGGCCTAGTTGGTAAGTGTGCGACCTTCAGAGCTTGAGGTCCACAGTTTAATCCTTAGGAACTCCACATCTGTTTTGACTTCTCTCTAATCCATGTAGTTTCAGCTTTAAATACTCTTAAAACAGAGCACTGATGGGGAGGGGGTAAAGTGCGCACCAGTTGAATTTCAACTGAAGGAACTACCCACGTTAAACATAGGTACTTTACTTTACTTTTTAACCTTTAAATAGGTTTTCCATAAAATAATGTACTTATCCGAAAATTCAAGGACTGGAATCTACTTGTTAAAACCTGGCTCACACTTAAAGTGATTTTACTTCATCTGTGAAATAGTAACATAATATGTTATTAGTAGACACTAATACCATTGTTTTCTTTTGTTTTACATTGACTATTAGTCACTAAATAATACAACTGTGTGTCACAAGTGAAGTAAAATCATTCTAGCATCAGAATCAGAATCAACATAAGCAGACACAGTCTTTCACTTATGACAAAGGAGTGAAAAAAGGCAAGCACTGTTACCAATGAGTAGTACACTGCTGAGTCTTCATATGTTGCTTCTGATTCTGATTCTGATTCCAACACTAATGTGAAGCAGGTTTAAGAAACAAAAATCTCTTAGTATGTCCATTGAATTACATGCTTTCCCTCCAAATATCATAAAAGATCACCTAAAGTGACAGACAAAGTTTAACAAATCCACATGTCGCCCTTTATGCAGTCTTTATTGCACACTGATTATTAGTCTCAAGTCTGGTTATATACATTTTCTCCCTCTTACATAATATTATTAATGAAACTACTAATCTTGCATTTTTCTCTTATAGTAAAGCACAGACTATCATATTCTTGAAGAGTGGAATAATGAAGGTAGAACAATGTCCAATGCATTTGACTATAGAAAGTTAAGATCAGTCACTTTGTAGTGCACGACATGAAACTTGACTGCAAGCAGTTTACATTTGTATTCTCATTACAAATTCAATACTCATGGTTTTAATCATTTCTTCATGATTTAAATTCAGAATTTTAAATAATTATTTGGCCAACAAATGTACTCAGGTGGTAAATAGTGGAGTGTTTTATGTCAACTGCAATTTTAAGCTCAGCTATAAATGGATGCAATGTTCAAAGCCATATTAAAAAAGATTCCATGAGGATGTGAAGTTACTAAACACAGCACTATTCAGTGCAAGATCACTACTAAGGTATTGAAGATGCTTGTGTATATCACTATTGCAATCATGGCACAGAACATGTCCAAGGTGAATTTTTCCACACTTTTAGTTGAGGCTTTTTAAGAACTCTTTCACATGGTTTTCAGATTTTTTAATAGGTTTTGTACATTGCTTTTAGCTGAGGTAGGTAAGTCATCAGATATAATTTAGCTTGAATTCTTAACATCTCAGAATAGAACTTTTTAGCTTCATTGTTTGTTGTGCACATTTCAGACCATGTGATGTCAGTCTTGAGAATTGATGATTCTCAAAGAATRTCATGTGATAGGAAATGGGCAATTTGCATACAAAGCTAAAAAGGTCTATTGGAAAGGTTTGTATTTTTGTATGGCCTTACAGCTGAGGTCAGTATTATTATTATAAAAAGGTTTTAAACAACTTATTAAAGTTTAAAATGTTCCATACATGACTATCTTGCCTGGCATATATATAGAACCTTGCACTAACGGTCTTAACCATGAAAATGCTGAACTAAAAGGATGGAATGTAAAACTGCTACAGACATAACATAATTTTTTGCAATGGAGCCAGCATTTTCTTACTAAACTGCTATAGCAAACAAAACCATTTGCAGCCAATTCAAAACATATTGTAAAGCCTGGTATCCTTGTAATCATTTGTCACAAGATACTTTTACTGACAGAGGCTGTTTTGGTTTTCAAAATAGAATTAAACAGCAATATAAATGAAAGCATTGTTGAAATTGTATCGGAAACAAAATGCACAAAGATTAGAAACTTAAGATGTTATTTCTTCTTCAAATTAAATAGGTAATCAACATGGAATGCAAAGTATCTTAACGAACAAAAAATAAGAAATATTACTAAGGTTACCAGGCTTTATTTGCTGCATTTTGTAAATTAATGGAAAATAAAAACAGATCTTGCAAGTATGAACCCTTTATGAATTGCACTGCACAACTGCTACACTGCAAGCCAAAATACTACTTTGACAAGTCTTTAAAAACTATCAAATGGAGGACTTGCAAAACCTCCTAATTGCATATTTGTTATGATTTAATGTCGCTTGATTTATATTAGCATTTAGAAATAACGGTCACAACTTCAATGTCCTTCAATCATTTTTATCCAAAAGAGATGTGTGAAACTCCACCAGGAGGAGCCTTTACTTGGACCGAGGTATGTATTTTTTCTGGCGCAGCCTCAGTAGCAGCTATAATGTTACCAGATGACTTTTCTTGGTGTGCCTTTTTGGGTACTGGGATTGGTTCTAATGGTGCAGTAAATACAGATGATTTTTGCCTTGCTTCCTGGCATGATTTTACATTGCCCTTGCTTTGAATGCCCATCTCACTAGCTTCAAAGACATTTGATGAATTGCGTTGAACTTGACATGGGTTTAAAGGTTTTCCAGATGGGTCTGAAGCCTGTGCTGCTGCAAAACTGACTGAATCTTTTCCACCAGGAGGAGCCAACACCCTACTGATGTAAAATGCACATACATATTTATGTTAATACCATTAAGGACGTTCATGGGCAAAAGATCCCATCRTCAGATTTTTTTTTACATTTTGCACAATGAAGGAACATCATACTAGAAGTAAAATAAGCAAATAAAAAATGGGGTCCCCAACTTTGTTTAGCTGTCAGAATATGTGGAAGGTCACCCTTTTTAAGAAATGCCCGAGCAACATTAACATGTAAAGCTCTCAAAAATTAGAAATATTTTAATGACAAAATAAATTGATCCTCCCCATTTTTCACAGAAGATTAGAAAATAGCCAAAAAAACTAGTTAGCATTTGAAATTTGAGTTAAAAAGTAGAAATATAACATGTTATTGTGCTACGAGTATGGACTTGGAGCCTTTGCATTACACAAACTTCTATTCTAATTATATACAAAATGTGTAATTTGGATTTTATCCCAACGTCAGACTTTTTCATTTTTCCTCTAAAGTTAGGTATCATAAAGTACTTTCAAAAAGCAAACTAAAAAGGGGATGGCCTACTTTGTTTTAGACCTATGCGAGATTAAAGACGTTTTTATTAGTTTTTGCTTATCCAAACTTTGGAATGACGTCATCATGATTAGCTCATGCTCACTAGATTCATGCACAGAAAGGATGCGCGCAAACAATGCCCATGAACGTCCTTAAGTGTAATATTAGCACTTGTAAATTCTTTTCACTTAAAAGGAGCCCTGGTCCCGTGAACTTTGGTTCTAACTATTTTATATGTGCATTTCTCAAATTAATTTCAATAAAGGCCTGTGGTGCAACTACATCAATACCACCGAACTAACTGCTCAAATCGAGAATGGTGGTTAAAATGCTTGAACATTGGTCTTTTTCCTGAGGTTTAGACTTAATTTTGAGCCAAAGCTTGGGATTTTTCATTTGTCAATGCTGGGGCCTAAATGCTGGGGGTCTAAATTAACAGAATAAAGGAAGGCTTGCTGTCATGGCCACTTAAAATGACTGCTTCTTTAGTAGCTACACAGCTATTGATCAAAATAGTAACCACCCTAATAATCTACACTTCACTACACTATAAGGACTTTGAATGTGGTAATGTATGAAAGACCCTTAGTGACATTCCAATAAACCATATTAGATACCAAAATGTTATGCATTCAAAAGGGAAGTTAACCGTCTACTCTAATTTTGCAAAATTTTGATTGAAGCTGAATTCTACAGCCAAACATTTACTAAGTTATATAGAGATGACAAGTACAATAAAAAAACATCAAAAGTCTTTAATCGGAAAGAATGTTTTCTTTAATCTTTAAATCCATAACAAAACAAAAATACTATCAAATGCATTAGTATGACTTTTAAAGTCGAATGAATTTTGCAAATGGAATTACTAAAATATTGTTCAAAATAAGTATGTGACAGGGTAATAAAGTAATGAGAAAATAACAAGTTGGTAAATGTTGTCATTATTTTTGGTAAGCCTTTGCTTTCTTTGAAAGGGTTTGTCAAGTTACAATTTATTATTTTGCTGTAATTAGGTCTTAATTAGTTACAGGATATTCAATTTTAAAATAGCAATAAAATGCTAATTCAACAATATATTGATAACAAAAGAACATAGATGGTTATTAAAGATTCCACTCAAAGATAAATATAAATATAAATGGTTGTGCAATTATAATGTTGTGTTCCTCAACAGGTATTGTTTCAATGCCACCTGTATTTCTAGTTTTAATAAGAGTCTTCATTAAAACAATATACAAATATTACTGCTCCTTTTTGCCAATTTATATTAAAAAAAGCTCAACACAAGTTACTTCTTAGGTTTGATGTGTTTAAATGCTTGCCTAAAAGACCTAAAAGTGGGTTCTAAATTCCAGAAGCAGAAAACTGCCCTAAACAGTATAACATTCTTTTAAAACAAAAAATATTTACAATGTATCAAAACACTGAGGGTTAGATAACAGAGATAATACCACAACTTTAAGGTAAATCGAAAAGCATGTAAACATTATTTACACAAACTAAAGTTAAGTCAAAGTATGCAAAAGGAAAAGATTAGCTGTCAAATTATACATGTCAGTTGCCTGACCATGACAACACGAGGAAAAAACAAAAGTTACTGTAATATATTTTTGCCCCTACAGCTATTTTTAGCAAGCAAACACGTTCTGTAACATCAATTGACTGAAATTCAATTAAATTGCCTAATGAAATTCGAAAGAAACAAAGGAGTGAAATTCAATTACTAAACGAATAGTCAAAGATTTTACGGCAGACCCAACAAGTACAAACTCATTTGGTTGACTTGACCTCGTCTCTCTGTGAAGTCTAAATATCAAGGATTCTTTATTGGCCCTCACAATTCTTTGAACTATCTTAAAATCACAAGAATGTAATGAAAATAAAGCACACAAAGCCTCGTTAAGCGATTCATAAAGCAAATCCTTTTAGTCATGACTCAACTTCAAAGCCTTTTTTGCAAATCTAATGAACAGATAATGTTAGAGAACATGGTAAACTAATCTTCTAGCGTCTCATATTTTACAAGGCACGAAAGAAACAATGACGAAATATAATGCTTTTTCGTAGTAAAAGAAAATTATAAATTCAAGATTAAGAGCGGAGGTGTTTTACATAAATGTAATGCTTAATTGTAGTTGTTGACGAAAAGGGTAAATCTTGAATAAGAAACGGAGATTTGCACAAATGAATTACTGTCATATCCATCCAATGTGGTCAGTGAGGAGCCTCAAGTATTTTATCGTTATGCATAGCTTAAATCCAAAATCCAAAGAAACGTTTCCTTCAAAAGGACAAACAGGTGAAGAGTCTTTCACAGCGATAAACACGTTCAAACCCCAAAGGAGAAAGAAGTGATTTATAATTTATAGCTCGCCAAAGCCGTGTGAAATGATGATATGCACAAAACCCAAGGCAAGAAGTGAACGTACCACTCGTTACTTTGCACTCTTATCTTTGCAACTTCAGTAAAGTAAATTCAGAGTCACGGTAGATTCAAAAGATCAGACAGGACAAACTATGCAGGTGTTTGGCTCTACGACAGCGTAGTTCATTGTCCGTAGTCAGCATGCTTTTATATTCTTGCATGGCTGGTTTAAGAACGTACCATTACATTAGGTTCGAGACGAGCGAAACGAAATAAAATACCACGGCTCAGTGAGCGACTTCAGTATAGATAAAACTAACCTTAAATAGTTAAGAGTAATGTAAGTCAAAGTGCTTGAGAATTATCGTGAAAAACGCTTACCAAGAATAACTATCAGAAGCCTTTCATCATCAATGTTTTTYGGACACACTGAATGTTCAGAGTACTATTTTTAAAAGGTATGAAAAGTAAATAAAACAGTCGTTGGTACTTCCGTAATATGAATGATATGTCTTAGATATTTTTTATTGCGTATATAAGAAGCGTATATACTTTAAAATAACGAGCGAGGATGTCAAAAAGCCTTTGTGATATCTGAAATATTCAAATTTCGTGGCATAAATGAGCTTCAAAATCTGAATTTTTGGCCAGTCAAAAAATACAAAAAATATTTTCCCTTAGTTTATCTTTACCTTTGTCTATGGGAGTCGTCAAATCCAACTACAAATTCCGAAGACATGGCAGATAAAATAGACCTTCAGGAAGAATTATTCCCGCCTTTCAATATTCGAAAACCGTTTGATATCCTTCGCTTTGCGTTGGATCATGGAAAATATAACTACTGTTCATTATTCATGACAGCAACAAACTGCAGTCCCCGGATGAAAAAGAATGCGCGCGCACAAATAACAAAAAACAAAACTCTTATTGGTGGAAACTAAATAAAAGCGCAATAGATTAACATATTTGATTGGTTGATGTCTAACCGTACACTCCACAAAAATCGCCGGTAAAAATGTCATCAAACAACTTTTGATGTAAACAAATCCTTTCACGAAGAAAAAGTAAGAATTTTTTTACGGAAATTCAAATTTCTTTTCGTTTTTGTTTGCGCCCGACTAGTTGTTTTATTCATACGAGTGACGTCAGACTYATAAGCGAGTAAAACCTTCTAAAGTTTTTTTAAAACTCTCTTGTCTAGAGAATTTTGTTCGAACAAAGCGATGCCTCCTTTTTTGTACTTGTCACTTTGTCAGTAGTTTTGAAAATAATGAAGAAAAAAGACTCGGCCACATCAGGGGGTTCCCGGATCATAGAACAACGCTGCTGCGTTTTCAAAGCGCGCCAAATTGGGAAACCCATTCAATGCAAATATCTTGAACTAATATCTGATTGGTTTTGTAAAAGCGTGAATGTTATTTTACTTGATTTTGATTGGTCAGATAACTGTGAATCGATAGCTTCCGCTCTCAAACAATCTGTCAATTCAAGGAAAAAACACATGGATGGCGCGGAGAGCGTCATGAATTAATATCTTCTTTCCCTTAAATTTTGTGTCATTTGTGACCACAGTTGCGGGTTGTATTGTCTATCATGGGGTCCGAGAACTGCTTTATGACAAAAGAACATCTCAACGAACGAATTCTTCGTTCTCCATGGTCAGAATACCCTTTGCCACCGTTACACCGCGCTTGCCGAGATGGAGATGTGCAAAGTTTGTTATATCTTGTTATTCAGGGTGACCGACTCGAGGTCTTTCGCTGTGTAAACGAGAAGGATCAGTTCTTAATGTGGACTCCAGCTCACTGGGCAGCATACTTTGGTCATGTAGGTATCTCTTCTCACACACGACTAACACGAACCAGGAATTTTCGACAACTTTGTGGTCAACTTTGTTTATAACCTTAGGCCTATATACATAAAGCCGAAATTATACGTTGAAAATGCTTTCGGTATTGTTCTCCTATTTAGGACATTTAAAATAAAAATAAAAATATTGTGATAACAACATTGCTGAAGTTTAAAAAATTTTCATTAGCTAACGTAAAACATTTATCCATGTTTGCGTGAGTATTTACAAGGAACAAAAGTCATGCAAAGTTACTCAGCCATTCATTATATTTCAAAGCATCAAATATGCACCTTTGGTATTAATAATTTAATATACACGCTTAAGATTAGATACCTTCCTTTATGAATTTTTGATATAGTTCTTGATACGAGAACTTTTTCATTCGTGTTASCGTCAAAGAGACAGTAAAAGAGAGATTCGAAAAGCTTTATGTATATATAGATTATAGACAGTAATTATGTTGTTGAATACTTTGCGTGTTCGAACTTAACGGCCATTTGATAGACGATAGTCTGCTATCGGGTATTTATTAGATTCAATCAAAGATCCCGTTCGGAAGAGGTCTTATCAAATGATTACCGCTATTTGGTTGTTGTTCTTGCTATATCGTGTGTTACATTTGAAGTTACTATGTGAAAACTAAACAGAGTCTGTGTCTATGATATTTGCGTGTCTCTTTCCCTAAATACTAGGCTTGGCACCGGCAACCCGAGGGATCATTTTACTTTCTATAAACATATGATATGTTTTTGGTTGCCATGTCTGGGAAATTGAATGGCTAGATGAGTCCAGAAAGGTTTCATTACTCAGGGGGAGGGCCCTAGGGAGGAGATTAGTCTTGTTCATATTTCTCATATTTGTGTTATTTAATAAACACATTTTTGGTGGATATGTTGTATTTTATATTCAGAAATAAACTGACATTGTTGTATATTTTTACATGTTTAGTTTTCTATTTTAGAGTATTGTAGAATCAGACTACAGTACAAGAAAAATTTTCAGTAATCCTTGACCAGTATATGTTATAGCTCCAAAAAGGTCATGATTAATTCAAAAAACTGTGGAATAACTTTTGAACTAACTTTTGTGAACTATATATGTAATTTTTACTATGTTATGCTCTCAATTTCAGCTGGAATGTCTTATGCGGCTCGTCAGCTGTGGCCTTAGCCTTGATGTCATGGATGGTAGACTCAAGCAAACAACTTTACATTTGGCAGCATTTGCTGGAAATGCCCTTGTGCTAGACTGGATTCTTCATGCTGGAGCATCTATTGATAAACAAGTGAGTATTTCACTAATTTTCATGTTGGTGAATTAAGCTAGGTATTTGTGGAGCCATCATATAGTTTTTAACAAGCTTTATAGATTCTAATTTCTGGATGTTTCCAAAAGCATCAAAATAACTTTAACCAGACATACCTTTGATCGTTAGGATAGCCTGGGGGAAACTGCTGTGCACAAAGCTGTACGTGGTGATAGTGTTGAGTGTTTGGAAGTGTTACAGAAGTACAAAGCACCAATGAAGTAAGCACCAGATGATTTCCTCTTTGTCATTACAGAATGTTTAAAAATGAAAATGGTTGAATATATTACCAGTAAAAACACTAAAATGCTTGACAAGAAAAAGTTAACCAAGGCTGCAAATTAATTTGTTTCTATAAGGCTATCATATGTCAGATCAGTGACAAGGGTTGCTCTGACATCCAACCAGTGGGGACCAACCAGTGTAGTTGGACAAGAGTTTCTATCAACAACTGCAACCAAAAGAGCTAAAGGAAAAAAATCCTTCATACTATATGCACCTGTGGTAATTCTGTTAGGTAAAACTCTGAAACAACATGGCGGCCACTACAGTCACACTGTTACACTGTACCTTTCCACCAACTGTGTCCACTTTTCACTTGTAATTTCTTACCCTGGTAGCATACATGAAAGTTCTGCTTCAAGTTTCGCAATCTTGAGGGATAATATTTTTTTAAAATCTAGAGTGACTATATTTTTTCATATTCCACCAAATAAATGTCTGATGTCTAGTGCTAATTTGCAAGCTTGGTTAACATGTTCATTGTGCAAAAAAATTTATTGATGTCCCATTCCCTCGAATGACTGAAAAATTGAGTAAGAGTACTAACCTTGGTGATTAGACACCACCTACAGTAAAATGCCTAGTTGTGGGCCTGATGATGGAATTATTCAGAGAAACTAAATAATATTTTTGTATTTGTAGTATGCCCAATAGCAGTCAACAAACCCCATATGAAATAGCACTCTCACTTAAAGGCCAATGTATAGAATACTTCAGGGTTGTTCTTGATTTAAAATATTCAGCTGGTAAGTGGTAAATTGTTTATATGACATCCAGTACTTAATATGCACCTATTCCAATAAACCTTGTCATCACCAAAGGCAATAGGCAATAGGTAAAAAGCCATAGGAGATAGGTCATTCCAAGATCCAAGAATAGCTGGAATGACTTGTGTTTCTGCTTCAATGTTCTCTGTATTGAGCAAAACCATTTTCATGTTTAAATGTCCAATCGCCTATCGTCTTTAGCAATGACAATGTTTATAGAAATAGGTATGTGTAATTTAATCTTGGACAGTGTAGACTCTTTTTTCTCTTTATTATGCCAGAATTTATTAAAGTTATCTTATTCAGAATTCAATTGAAATAGTATTAATTGTTTTCAGCATATTAAACCAAATGGTTTTGGGTTAATTAGCGAAGCTTGATAAAGCATTGTACCTATAATTACTCCTCTTGCTTGTAGGGCCAATTTCTAGATCTGGTAAGCGCTCACTTGATGATGATGATGATCTGGAAAACTCTGCGAAGAAATCAAGGAATGGTAGGTTATTACCAAAGTCTGTTAACTTTAAGACACATGGGTAGACTTTCGCAAAGTCCACCACCTTCTGTGTGTGGCATTTGCTGCTATGCCCTGTCTCTCACCTCTGTGAAGTTCATGCGTGGGGTCACAAGTTTGATTACCGGCCAAGCCAATATTAGTTGAGTATGTTTCATGTGATGTTCTCTCTCTTTCCACGAGGGTTTCTCTCTAGTTTTCCTCCCTTCCTAAAATAACCATGTGAGTTAAATGTTGTTTGTTGTAAATAATGAATGTAGTGGTAGTGCATGTGCATGAGCAAACCTTGTGGAAAACAATGATGTTTGTAAAATATAGTTTTTTTTAATGTCGTTTTTTTTTWAAACTCAACTGAATTTTAGAGGTTCTGACAAACAAGCACATGTTGACATGACTTTATCCATTAAATCTTTAGATTCAGATCATTTAGCCATCAACCAAAATGGCTTTCACACTCCTATTCATAATGACCAAGAAATCCTTTCCATGATGGAAGCCAATGGACAGTATCCTCTTATAGAAAAAAGGGAAAGCAGTCCATTTAACAGACAACTAAATGGAACTGTCAATGGAGAAAGAAATGAACACATGAATGGGGATTGCGATATGCAGGAAGATCATAGCTCTAATGGCCAGAATGCTTTACATACTGAAAGTACTTATTTCACTCAGTCACCAATAAGATGCCTGACACTCTGTGGCCACCTTCAGTAAAGTACATAATCTCTTTCTTGTAAAAAACTTTTTAATAACTTTTGTAATTTGAATTTACTTCATATTTCACTATTCAGACCTGCACTACATAAATATCTTGTATAATAATAATCATTTTGATTGTTTCTAAAAGCAATTTTTTAAACTATTATTTTAAACTAAATGGATTTACTTAGGATCCACCCAACTATGAAGTCAAATGATGTYCTTTCTGTTATTGGTCCTTCATGGCTTGACAAATTTTGCTAGCATCTTTTCTTAACGTGATATTTATTGAATGTCACTAGATTTTTACAGCCAGATATTCTTTTTTAGAAAACTGACAACTGTGGAATCTTTATATCTTGTGCTCATTTTGATGATACCAAATGGTTTTGTGTTTTTTCCTTTTTTTTCCTCTGAAAATGGGTAAACCAACCCACTGCTCATTAAAATTTGTAGATTCTAAAATCATCTGACTTCATAATGATTTCATCGCATGACCTCATCCAGTTATCTTTTTTGTCAAACCTATATTTTGTACTGTTGGGGGAGACATAATTATAGGGTTTATGGTTTTTGGAAAATTTTTACCTAGCTTTTTGGAAAATTGTTTTTGAATATGGTTTTACAGTTTCATCCAAGTCTGTGGTATGCAGATTTTGCAACTTTTGGACTTGGTTTTTGCTGAAGTCCAATAATCTATGCTGTATTTACGTTTCTGTCTTTTTACTCTAGTTTGGACTGAATTTGAGTAAGAATGTGAATGCAGTTTCAGTCAACTTTTGACAGGGTATTGCAGTTTTTGCCCAATTTTCATGGTTTGGTGGTCTTGGTACACCTACACTGGCACCCTCTGTACATTGTCATTCCATACACTATCACAAGTTTCTGCTAGACATGATGAGCTGTGTTAAAAAACAAAAAATACCTTGAAGGGTTATGATAGTCCTTTGAGTCCCTTCCCTACAGAATTTTCTATAAAACAGCTAAAACATGCTTCCTTCATGATTCTTAGAAATGAACAGTCCACACTGTTTTTTTATTCAATCAGTCACAAAGGTACCATACGTGGAGATAAAAATGATATATAGAAATCAAACTTTGTTTTTGTAGCTAGATGCGTACTTGTTTATAGTATTCCAAAGACATAAACATCAAATATGTATAGGTAGCTATTTTAAAAGACAATAATGGCAATGCAATGTTAGTGATTTTACTTAACCTGTGGGGAAAAAATTACTTGTTTATGTTTGATAGCTAAATAGGCACTATGAAAAAGGATGAAAGTAAGATCTACTAACCTGTATTATTAGTATAAACCTACTAATAGCCTATCACAAATCCTTTGTTCTGATTGGCTGAGTACTAGCGAATAGTGCCAGTTTTGAAAACCAAAACAACGCAAAAAGTAAAGTTATTTCAATTTAATTTCAAAGGTATTTGTATCCATTTATTTGACAGATCCTCAGGTTCATAATAAAGCATTTAGATCCTTTCCCTCGTGGTCTATGAGTCAATCGGTATTCGGCCCCACGAGTCACCGACAGATTGCCTACATCTCAGGCTAAGCAAAACCACCTCAAATTAGTAAACATTGGTAAACTAAATTTGTGTATAATAGGTAATTCCTTGGTTTATTATACTACCAAAATATCTTGCCTACTTTATTAATATCATTAATGACTTACTTTTCCCGATAATTGACCACAAATCTTTTTATAAAAGTTGCCTTCAAAGGAATTTCATATTGAAGTTACTAACACTGTCTTAATAACAATTGGTTATATATACATATCATTTATATTAAAATTACGAAAAGCGGTTTGCCATCAATATCTTTAAGTTATTTTGAAATATTCCATACTTTAGTGTCTAGAAATAGCTAGGATATTTGTTATTTAAATTATCATATTTATGTTGAAAATGTGAATTTATTTTGTTTTTAAATAAAAGTAGACGATAAACCTGCTCAGATAAAGAAGTACTGAGTTAAACATATAACTAACTTCCAATTTTCCCCATTTGCTCCTGATTAGCGACCTGAAATCAAATCTGTGCACTGCATTTCTAATAATTTAAAACTGAAATYTTAGACATATCTACATGCATCGTGTGGGTTAACAGATGGACCATTAGTGGTTCTAGACTGAGAGGTAGTGTAACTAGTGTGGTTAAATGACAATTTTCATGTAAATTGTAGTTGCAGCATGTCAAAAGCAGTGGCTGATCCGGGGGGAGGGTTACACCTGGGCCCCGTTGTACAAAGGGTGTATAACGCTATAAATTTATTGGATAACAGTATCAACTTATCCACTGGATAAGGATTTATCGGCTCTTACTTGGTATTGCAAGGCACCAAAGTAGCTCTTACTACTCATATACCTACAGGGATATACTCATGTACTTATCTATATAACTTATATCTACATAATATGCTACATAGAAAGAGCTATTTTGCTGCCGATTTATCCGTCGGATAAAGCTATCCTTGCACCCTTCGTACAACCGGGTCCTGAAGTTTAATTGATGGTTGTATCCTAAAATTTAGTTTTGCCACAAGTTTGATTTGAAGTAGTTTCTGTAGAAATTTATTTTAAATGGGAAGATAAAAGTGAGTGTCGTGAAACGGAAAGCGTTTGGACCCCCGCCTCACTGAAAAATTCCTGGTTACGCCGCCCTCAACAATTTAAATGATGTTTTTTTWAAATACCTTTACCAAAATGGCGACCGCAAATTCAAATGAGTTAAAAATTAAACTGAGTGGAAAATCTATACCAGCACTAGAACTTGGGAGCACCTTGACCTCATAAAGATTTATCATGTTAGGTGATACATCAACCGAAAATGATTAACTTGAAAATTGGCAAATATACAGACATTTGTATGACTGGGGTTAAATTGTGACATTCCATCTACTGGAGGATTGTCTTCTTAGCATTTTGCATCTGGTAAAGCTCCAATCCAGCCTTTTCTAAGTTGAGCTGACAGCTCTTTTACAATTTCGGCAAACCCTGGAATATTGGCTACATTCTTGTCTTCTTGTTTGGTAATGTAGAGTTCTCTTGCCTGCACGTTGGACCAGTTGCCTTGCTGGGTTTGAGGGTCAAACTCAATCCACTCTGTATATCGATGCATAGCTGTCTGCATTGAGTAACCCATGATCGTTATATCTTGTGGTCTTGGTAAACAAGTTTTTATTGTTGGAATCGTTGATGGTCTAAAATCAAAGAATCAATATTTGGTTTTAGTTGTTGATTTGGTTTCCCAGTTGAGAAGCCACAGGTAGCCCAAGCTTGGTTTCTGTGGTGTCCTGCTATAAGGAAATGTATGGAGATTCATCAAAAATTTCAATAAAATCATTGAAACGTGAAATAAGGCCTCGACATTTTACCCGATCATTGAGAAATAACACTTCTTTTGAACTGCGTGGTTATTTTTTGAATTTAGCCCGTTTTAAGATTTTTTCCCCCCACCAGTAAGAAATAACACGCAGAGCGAAAGAAGTGCTATTTCTCAATGATCGGGTAAAATTTCGAGGCTTTATTTCACGTTTCAATGATTTTATTGAAATTTTTGATGAATCTCCATACATTTCCTTATAACAGGACACCACAGAAACCAAGCTTGGGCTACCTGTGGAGAAGCATGCGCAAGAAAAATGGGGATTTGAGTCTTGCCCCTATGAAACTAAACCAACTGAGCTATATTAGTATAAGGTTAATTTTCAGTTCAAGCATCGGCCCGTTTATTCCAAAGGAAAACTGAGGACTCAAAGAAACAAGAGATGGGTAATGGAAAGAATAGAAGGAAAGTTTGATTTTGCTTCGCGGTACTTTATACAAACCTAGGATACTGACTGAAAATGGCTTTTTTCCATGGTAACGAGTGATCTTTAAGAAGTGGGTAAAAACTCAAACCCTCAGTGCAGGTTAAGCGTTTTGATGAATCTTTTGGACATCGTTCTGTAAATGGGGAAAAATAAAGTTAGTGACTGCACATTTGTTTGGGAGATTCTTGCGGGATTCTTGTGGATATGGCGCGAACTCTGAACATGAAACGCGTACGCGTGTGTATTGGTGGAAAATGGTATATTGTCCCTCGCTACGCTAACCTATCGCTACACCACTGCACGACAGTGGTAAAAATCCACGTCCCATGTTTCACTATCATCCATAATGATCGAAGTTGATTATGAAGTTGAATGTATGATGATCCCTATCGACCAGTATACCCACCTACTTTTTTCAATCCACAGATCTCGGCTAAAGACGGCATTATGTCGACTAATTCAACGAGTTTATCAATCACGATTCTTTTTGAGCCGATCTGTGGTCTCTTTATGTCGGTTAGGCCTGGGACATGTATGATGAGAGGAACATTAGTTGCTACCCGAAAATTGCTGTATTTACACCATTCATCATGTTCACCGAGGGCCCAGCCTAAATGCAAAAATAAAAACAAGATGAGTTTAAAGTATCATATAAGATCGATTGCATCGAGCAAAAAAATATCAGTGTGCAAGGAATTCTATCCCTTTCTGCATCTTACTGTTTCATTTTATATTTGAAGATAACGATATAACGCTAGGTATTTTTAGAGGCATTGTCTTATCGCTATTCAGCACGATAAGTGCGGCTTTTTGCTCTGGTTACCCCTCCAAAGCCGCAAAGTATCATTGGGTATTAGAAAAGCAGAGAATCCCATCATTCCCGTTCTGGCATCATGGCCTCATTATACAAAGAGATGACTCACTCACCATGATCACCAGTTACAAGAACCACAGTGTCATCACCAAACCCATGTTCTTTAATACCATTAAGTAATTGGCCGATAAGAGTATCGATATAGCTAGTGGCCGCGAAGTAGTTTTGGCGAATTTTTAGAGCAAATGATTTAGGAATAGGACCATAAGGAAAGCTGAGATTCAATGCAGCAACGTCTTCTCTCCATCTTATGTCTGTCCACGGTTCATAGGCTACTGTCGGCATAAACAAGGGCAAGAAAGGATCCGAAACGCTTGGAACTTCAGTGAGTGGATACAAATCAAGAAATTCTTTTGGGTATTTGAATGATATATGTGGCTTGTAGAAGCCAACGGCCAGGAAAAATGGAGTTCTAGGTTGTGAAGAAAGTTGTTGCAGAAGCTGTAGTGCATGACGGGTGCTCTGGATGTCTGGTAAGGTTCCCTCCGGTTGATGAGCGACCTCAACAGGGCAAATCAAATTGGTATGCAATGTACCATCGTCATTGAGACAAACCTACATAAAACAAAGTAAAAATAGCATTAGAGATATATACAACAATTTTCGTCATTCGTGGGTGTTGAGTTGGGGGCTAGCAACTACGTCACAAACAAAAGAAAAGAAACGAACGAGCAAACGCAGTAAAAAAATTCCGTTTGAAGAATAAACAATGTATTGTCATTTTTTGCCAAATATAGTGGGTCTTTCTTATTGTAGCAAGCTTTATTATATTCTTGGTTAGGGTTCTGATTTCGCAGGGTATTCGGTTTAGCTCCAAATTCATTGTTTTCGGCTATTGTTTTGTTGTCTTCATGGCTCAGGTCGCCTGCAACACCAAGAAAGAGCCAATATAGTTTACCTCTGCATTATCATATTTGARGGTCGATGGGATGTAGGGCGGGGTTGACCAGCTATAGGGATAATCTGAAGTATTATTAGAAGATCTCCCTGAGGAAAAAATAAACAGAAACATGATAAATGTCTTCTATATTGCTTTATATAAATACGGGCAATTTACAGGGAGCAGATGTTTGATTGGAACGTAAACTTTTCAACAACAACAACAACAACAACAA